TCGCTTCATGCTACAGAAACCGGGATAAGCTCCGACCTGATGGGCCACTTGGCTCGCATGCAGACTTTACTTTACTTACTAAATGAAATGTGCACTGGACCACACTTATGTCTGGTGAGAGATGATTACTAATTACTTACAATACAATTGCCCGGGGTAAATCTGGGTAAATTAATGATTTTATTATTGCAAATTTGATTTCATTACTATTTTCAATAATCCGAACAAGACTCGATCAACTCAATCCAATACTCGAGATGCTAAGCACCATTACGTCTCTTGCGACAAAAACGAAAGATGGAAAGAAAGCGCTGTTATGGATTAAGGTTGCGAGTTGGTAGAGGCGGCTTTTCTGTGAGCCTTACCCAACTGTAACCTAGGGGAGAAGAGATGACTGAGTTCTTTGCAAATCAAGAATCACGTGATATCGACATCCGAAACGATTAGCGAACTATTGGAAAAGGATGAGCTTCGAGATGTCTAAATTCACCGAAGTAAGTCATTAGAAGGAGAGACGGTTGCACCAAAAATAAATCACCATCATTGAAATGGTTCATTTCGTACGTTTTGTTTCCTTATAGAAAAGACATAAAAGACATGAAAAGACATGTTTCTCATAAAAATTGATCTTTTTCCACTACATTATCTCAAAGTTAGGAAATCTGATCCTTAACATAACAATCTGTCTTTAAAAAAGTTCTAAAACGTAGTCAATCATTTTGTTCGTTTTGTTTTGTTATTTTCCTATTTTGCCCGAAACATGTTGAAAGACATGTTGTTTCCCTCATGCAATTCAAATCTTCTTTAACTCTTCTCACAAGAAATTGATCCTTTCCCACTACATTATCTCAAAATTAGGAAAATCTGACACGAAACATAACGATGTAAAGTATTAGAAAAGGTATTAAAAAACTGGTTATAGATGCAACAGTCTAAGTTCTTAACACTTTGTTGATGATTTCTTTACCAAACGTGGCTGGAAGGCTTCCAGTCAGAAATCATTTACAGTTCGTTTGTTTCACTGTGATGCTCATCTGTAACTTTCATCACCGCTTCCCAGCGCAGAAGGCCCCAAATAGTGAATGTACGGATCGGTGGAGTTTCGTATTGGAAGACATGTGGCGCGTAAGGTTTACACCAGCACTTTTGGAATCGATCATACTTCAGAATGTCACGCCAGGGTAAGCGCAACACCTTAAATCTTACTTTTATCTTCCTCGCTTTGGAAGGGATATTAATGTACTTTCCACTTCCTGTCACTTCTTTTGTGATTTCTTCTCCGTTTACAAAAAAGCTCACAATCATTTTGGAGAACCAGAAGCCCTGGGATATGTATCTGACCCTACCATCGAGCATTTCTTCAGAGATGGCTTTCGTTACTGCATCACGCCATTCTTGAGTTAGGCCTAGGTCATCTAAGGAGAACTCGTCGGGGATTCCATTTTCCACAGAATCTTCCAGGTGCTTCTCAGTAACATCAGCCGCCTTCTCGATCACCACTTTCGCACTCGTCGCGGCTAAAGGACTTGCACTTTGCTGGGCCAGACGTCTTACCTCAGATGGTTGAGATGCCTGGTCTCCGATTGCTCCCTCAAGTGTTGAAGACACTGCAGCAGCCTTGTTCCCGGCCATCGCTCTAGTAACAGTAAGTCCTGTCACTCCTGCAACTGCGCCTGCTGTGGCCGCAACAGCTGCGTGACTTACTACCTTCGTCCAAGTGACATCCTGTCCATCAACAAATTTTTTGCTTGCGTCGGAAATCAGAGATGACACAGCTCCACCTAAGGCGCCAATGGCTGCACTGCAAACCAGGAACTCGCCCACTTTGAGGGCTGTGGACTCCAGAAGTGCTACTCCAATTGCTGCGCCACCAGGCATTACTGCAAGTAAGTACCCAATCCCTGTCTTCATCAACCACCCTTTGACGTCGCACCCATCTGCAATGGCCTCCTTGCTAATCGACTGCTGTAACGAGTACAACCCACCCACGATACTGGTTACGAGCCATGGGGATGAAAAACCAGCGGTAAGGACAACTCCCACAATGCCTCCAGTTGTAAGCAAAACCGACAAAGCTAACAAGCCCATTCTTTTCAACCAGGCTAACCTTTGCTCCATGGTTTCGCACTCGGGCCAAAAGACAGCTTTGAAGCGCTTCACCGACAGCCATCCACTGTCATAGTCAGCCATGTTGTGGTACCTGGCTCGCTTTTCTCGATCTTGAAGAATGTCGTAGGCCATAATCACCTCCCTGACTATTCCTTCGTCACCATCATCGTTGAATTCAGGGTGCCATATTCGTAGTTCTCGTATGAATGCGGTTCTGATTTCTTCATCCTGTTCTTCCTTTGACATGACACGTACTTGTTTCATGTCTAGCCTCAGTATGTTATACAGATTACGTCCCCCGCCATGCGATTCTATTACTTCGTCCCTTTGCATCTTTCGAAGGCATTCTTTTTTCTCTTGTGGGTACTTGGCAAGGTTTTCCTCTACGATCTCGAGCGAACTCGGTGAGTAAGTGACCCTTATTAACCTGTCTTCAATCCACTCTTGAGGTTTCAGGAGAACTTTTTTCGGTCTCTTGTCTTTGAATCTTGCGACGAGTTCGAACTTGCAGTCTTTGTCGCTGGAGTAAAGGAACTTGGTATTCGGCTTGATTGTTATAGATGTGTGAGGTAGCCAACACACAACATCCCAGGTGACAAAAAGATTGAGGGTGACCTGGGCATCGACCGAGTCGTTGATGATTAGTAGAGATTTCGGTTTTTTTCCCATTTCTGACTGAGCCGAGTAAAGATTACAAGTGATCAGATCCTGTCAGAGAACAAATACCAGTTTTTAATTAGGTCAACTGCCGACAATTAGGAACGGCTCAGTGTCTGTAGGTAATGGGATAAAGAAGACAAGAATGAAAAACAACAATACTGAAAATTACAATGTGACAAAAACAAGGTCGCGAGGAACTTGACTCGGACTTTAGG